TTTTCTTGTTTCTTTTGTGAAATCTTTAATGATGTTTATTCTGCCATAAACTCAAGTTGTTGTCTGTGTTTGAAGTCAACTTTAATGCCCTATGTAAACATTGTTGGGCATTCTAAACTTTGTATACAAGAGTGTTGAAGACACCTGTATCTGAATCACACGAATTTGTCTTTGTTTGCTCAAGCCACGATTTAACAAGAAGAAATGCGTTTCTGGGCTGCAAAAACGTATATTACATTTTGTCAGAATGCATTGCTTGAGACATACATACGCATTTTCGCCCTAAACGTCTCTGGATTATTTTAACATATAGGACTTTAAAAGTTAACAAACCAAGAAAAACTATCTCATATTTTAGCATTTATATACTAGAGGTTTTCATAACCATTGGTATGATGTAGCACGAGTCAGATCAGTATACATACTTAATAAAGCACGTTGATTCGCGATGAAATAGCTCATTAAGTAGTACAATAAAAATCATTTGATGAGGAATAAAAAGCAATGAAAGCACGTTTTAGAAAAAAATCTGTTCAGCAGTAATAGCCAAAAGTGAAGTATTTATACCATGTTGTGACTAATTTGCGGACTGGTTGCCTTGTTGTGCCTGCTATAAGAATAACCCAATCTGTCTAATTATTTTCGTTTACCAGTATCCTAGCCTGTACAACATGTACGATAGATAGATACAAACTAAGTACATATAACATACGGTAACGTTTGACAATAAGCCTGTCGTTTACCTGTAGTAAATACTATTATTTTCTTATTTGGGAAAGTGACGTTACTATTTGCATTGACATGACATGTGTCGTCAAAGAAGCAAACGATGGTTACTCTTCCGGAACACGTGGTCTTATTCTCCGGGTTCTTTTTTCTGGGGTGTTCTTGTAAATATTTCTTTATTCGTACTTTGTTTTAATTTCAGCGGTTGCGTTGTGCGTTACCACAACTGTACTAACTTGAGGTGGCAAATCACCATCCTGTAATAATTAAACTATGAAACTAAACTTATTTTAGTATAAGACCATTGTAAGTTCTTGTTATACTACTAAATAAAGTCTCTATCAGCTAATTTTCTAAGGAACTCCCAAAACAACGAGAGAATATCGACATTTCAAGAAAATAACGATTCGCAATGAAAGTTGATATACAGAGGTCAAAATATAAACAAAAATTAAAGTTCAGACTGTCGGAAAAATAACAAATGTGAGTTTTAGACTGTCGGAAAATTAACAAATGTGGGTTTTAGACTGTCGGAAAATTAACAAATGAGAGTTTTAGACTGTCGGAAAATTAACAAATGTGAGTTTTAGACTATCAGGAAATTAACAAATGTGAGTTTCAGACTGTCGGAAAATTAACAAATGTGAGTCTTAGACTCGGAAAATTAACAAATGTGAGTTTTAGACTATCAGGAAATTAACAAATGTGAGTTTCAGACTGTCGGAAAATTAACAAATGTGAGTCTTAGACTGTCGGAAAATAAACAAATGTGAGTTTTAGACTGTCGGAAAATAAACAAATGTAAGTTTTAGACTATCAGGAAATTACCAAATGTGAGTTTAAGACTGTCGGAAAATTAACAAATGTAAGTTTTAGACTGTCGGAAAATCAACAAATGTGAGTTTTAGACTGTCGGAAAATAAACAAATGTGAGCTTTAGACTATCAGAAAATTAACAAATGTGAGTCTTAGACTGTCCGAAAATAAACAAATGTAAGTTTTAGACTGTCGGAAAATTAACAAATGTGAGTTTAAGATTATCAGGAAATTAACAAATGTGAGTCTTAGACTGTCGGAAAATTAACAAATGTAAATTTTAGACTGTCCGAAAATAAACAAATGTAAGTTTTAGACTATCAGGAAATTAACAAATGTGAGTTTTAGACTATCAGGAAATTAACAAATGTGAGTTTTAGACTGTCGGAAAATAAACAAATGTAAAATCGGAAAATAAACAAATGTGGGTTTTAGACTGTCGGAAAATTAACAAATGTGAGTTTTAGACTGTCGGAAAATAAACAAATGTAAGTTTTAGGCTGTTGGAAAATTAACAAATGTGAGTTTTAGACTGTCGGAAAATAAACAAATGTGAGTTTTAGACTGTCGGAAAATTAACAAATGTGAGTTTTAGACTGTCGAAAAATTAACAAATGAGAGTTTTAGACTGTCGGAAAATTAACAAATGTGAGTTTTAGACTGTCGAAAAATTAACAAATGTAAGTTTTAGACTGTCGGAAAATTAACAAATGTAAAGTTTTAGACTGTCGGAAAATTAACAAATGTAAAGTTTTAGACTGTCGGAAAATAAACAAATGTAAAGTTTTAGACTGTCGGAAAATTAACAAATGTGAGTTTTAGACTGTCGGAAAATAAACAAATGTAAGTTTTAGACTGTCGGAAAATTAACAAATGTGAGTTTTAGACTGTCGGAAAATTAACAAATGAGAGTTTTAGACTGTCGGAAAATTAACAAATGTGAGTTTTAGACTGTCGGAAAATTAACAAATGTGAGTTTTAGACTGTCGGAAAATAAACAAATGTGAGTTTTAGACTGTCGGAAAATAAACAAATGTGAGTTTTAGACTGTCGGAAAATGAACAAATGTAAGTTTTAGGCTGTTGGAAAATTAACAAATGTGAGTTTTAGACTGTCGGAAAATAAACAAATGTGAGTTTTAGACTGTCGGAAAATACAAGAGACAGACGAAATTTATTCTAGAAAATAAAAAATTAAAAACAAGTAACATCAAGTTTTCGAAATAAGAAGCGTTGCTGTAGTAAGAAGAACAGTAAACATATAACTTCATATCAAACAAATGTAGTATATTCTTTTTGTTTTTGAATAATTTCTATCGCTTGTTATATGATCTAATATTTTTTTTCCAAAATTCTTGTACATAAAGCCCATGTTAAGTTTAATTGTTAAACAGATTATCAGTAGTATTAAGTAAAAAATAACAATACTTATATAATAATATCTTTCCAGTACCTATATACCATGCGATCACGGTATCATTTACACAACTTCTCTGGACTATTTTATAAACATCAATATTGTATAATGTTCACTAGTAGATTTGTTTATTCATGATGCCAACTTAGTCGTATTTAGGGGCTGATATGGTTAAGTTATTGTTGTTGATTGAGGAACGCTTCCACATTATTACATCATAAAAAAAAATTCAAACCTTTTTCTTGTTGAATTTGTCATTTGACGAAAAGGTAGTACAAACATGGTAATAACTGCTTAATTATCAATGGAATGATCTCATCTTAACCCACAATTTACCTGGGCTGACCCCTGAGTCCTGACATTGGTCTACCTTTAATTGGGTAGTAAACAATTGGCTTTGTCCACGTGTGCTCCCAAGCGGTTAGCGAGGATTAACTGGAATTAGTTGACACTAATTAGATGACTAAGTAGTGTAGTATAGTAGGACACCGTAGTTTTATTTCAGATCTTCTGGAGGTGTTAATAGCCAACGTCCGTCTGTCTGCTCAGTCAGGTACGCTCTCTCAACTCGGTGCCCAGCCCTAGATTTATAGCCCCTGGACACTGGTTCTAAACCCATTCCCGAATATGGCCTGAACCATACCCTCTAGTTCCGAGAACCATGACTTATACTTAGAAACATCACGTGACTGATCCCCCTCTTTTAATTGTTCTAGAACACCAGATGTTTCAGTTTTACAGTCTTGAGTAATTATATATCATGAAAGAGACACACTTCTCTGCTAAGACCGAAGACCCCCCCGCCCCCGCCGATCAATTCATTAACGTGAACCTAAGATACTGCCACTTGTTAATTACCTGCCACCTGATCATCCCACGGAGCACAGTAATATAGTCTAGACTAAGACCAAAATCACTGTTATACACTACAGTATCTTTACTAGATAAAATCCCAAAATTGTAAAAGTTATAATATTAAGGTAAATATCCTAAATCTATGAAGGTTCTAATTAAAATTATATTTCTAAATAATTCCCAAGCTGTGTAGTTATAATTTAAATTATATTTTAAAATAATCTCAAATCCGTGACACTGATTTTGTTACAGTAGTGTACTTAAATAGCTAGGCCTTAACAATGTGGCAAGGTAGTCAGCCTTACCAACTTGACGAATAGATCAAGGTTATTTATAACCTACCTAGCGAGATCTCTGAAATCGGCAGATTACCCCTATTTGAATCAATACGATCGAGAGACGAGACTGTTTAGTAAAAAACGGGAAACTCCCAACTTAATTAGGAAAGTTGGCTGGTATGGACGTGTTTTGACATAGCGATATTGTGAAGTTGTCATCCGTATACTACAATGTACGGATATTGTTTATTGTGAGACAATGGGTTTAAATATCACTCGTTGTGATGTATATCAACACACCAGCAACAACAAGATGTTTTAGTATACTATTAATGTATGTGTAAAACATGTCACATCATCATCTTAGGTTTTGATTCTCGGTCTTATAATATTATCTATCAATACTTGTACCACCATTCAACAAATAAACACACGATTTCAAACGAAATAATGAATGAATAATGAACACGATAGATATATATATATAAATATTACACCATTCTGAGATACAGGTATTCAATCAATGACAACCTTGTGTCTATGACACAGAATACATACAATAGCCGTTAATGTTTAGAAAGTACTCTCACAGCACTTTCAGTCAACAGATAAATAACACACACATCTTCATGCAACTGTGAATATTTAAATAACATTCTCGTTTAAATAAGATTCTCGTTTTTGGTGTGTCAATCCTGCGATACATAGATTCACGTAATGGAAAAGTAATGGAAACACAGCTTGTAGTCGTTGATTTTCTAGAAATAAAAATTATATAAGAGTAGATATTTTTGGGTTTGTAGATTATATTGCCTGAATTCAGTGACTGTGTATGGCTTTATGTTTGTACGAGTACTTCTCCTGAAGGAACATGACATCATTGTATAACAAACTCTGGTCAAAATAATATGGTCTGCGGAAATCTCCAGTATTTATTGGTCGTTTTATATCACAGCACGGTTACATTCAGAAGTTCAGAAATACATTGTAAAAAGTATTTAACTTCAGTTATAGGAATAAACATGTGAGAAAATCCAACTTGTCGAAGCAGATCAATCACATTAAAAAAGAATAGATCACACAAAATGTTTTAATATCCTACTGACTCATTCACTCGGTCAGTGACGTATCTAATTAAAAATGTTTTAATATCCCATTGACTCATTCACTCAGCCAGTGACGTATCTACTCAGAAATGCTCATTGATAATGTCCTCAGGATCTTGTAGTTTTTCTTTTGATGTTTTTTTCATTCTTTGTGCTCCCTCGAATTTGTTCCTTTTACCTGCAAACCAAGATGAAAATTTTCATTTTACCCGTTTTATAATAATACATCGACGATAGTACACTATCTCTAAATTAATTTTAGAAATGATCTCAAACCGAAAAATCTTTAAGTAGCTGCATTTCTAATTCTGCCACGGACATTAGAATGTGTGTAAGAGGAAGTAACGATTCTAACAGATTAGTCTTGATTTTACCCAATTAACAGGCATTCTTTGTTTAACATTTTTTTAAATTTGATTTAGTTATATTCAAGAGGAATAACGTTGAAATTGTTGACGCAATTAACTGAATCACGCCATTCAACTCATTTATGATACCGCCACAAAATATAGTCCACAAGAAACCTTTACAAAATGTCGTCTTTATTTTTTGATTCTGATTTATAAGTAGACCTATAGATAAGAATGATATTACGTTGGAATTTGTTTCGTTTTAAATCATGTCCTATTTACTTTCATATATGATGAAATATGTATGTGTACAGATTTTTTTTGATAACAAGAACTCATGAAACGCAGATTATAAAAAGCCATTTGACGTGTTGACTTATCGCACCTTGGATACACAGGTAGACAGGTGCGTGTGTTACCATTTACATGACATAATAAATCTTTCAATGTAGCTAACATAATAAGGGTTTTACTTAAATACTCACGAAACTGATGTATGCAAACACATATTCCTCCACAGAGTGACACCACGACAATTCCAATAGGCACGTAAAGACCCCTGTGGTGCAAAGGAAAATATTTACGTCAACACACAAGGAAACCCTGACGCCATAAATCATGGAAATGTCACACTGCTAATGTCAATACACATGGAAATGTCACGCTCCTAATGTCAGAGAACACGGAAAATGTCAAGCTGCTAATGTCAATAAACATGGAAAATGTCACGCTGCTAATGTCAGAGAACACGGAAAAAGTCACGCTGTTAATGTAAATAAACAAGAAAAAGCGACACAACTAATGTCAACAAACAAGGAAACCGTAACGCGACTGATGTCAACAGATAAGGAAACCGTAACGCGACCGATGTTATCAAAAAGGTAAACCGTGACGCGACTGATGTCATCAAACAAGGAAACCGTGACGCGTCTGATGTCAACAAACAAGGAAACCGTAACGCGACTGATGTCATCAAACAAGAAAACCGTAACGCGACTGATGTCATGAAACAAGTAAACCGTAACGCGACTGATGTCATCAAAAAGGTAAACCGTGACGCGACTGATGTCATCAAACAAGTAAACCGTGACGCGACTGATGTCATCAAACAAGTAAACCGTAACGCGACTGATGTCATCAAAAAGGTAAACCATGACGCGACTGTCATCAAACAAGAAAACCGTAACGCGACTGATGTCATCAAACAAGTAAACCGTAACGCGACTGATGTCATCAAACAAGTAAACCGTAACGCGACTGATGTCAACAAACAAGGAAACCGTAACGCGACTGATGTCATCAAACAAGTAAACCGAAACGCGACTGATGTCATTAAACAAGTAAACCGTAACGCGACTGATGTCAACAAACAAGTAAACCGTAACGCGACTGATGTCTAAAACCAGGAAAGTGTAACGCTACAAAAGAGTTCTTACATAACACTTTATTAATGTCAACATGATGTTGTCAGCAAACCGCACGCTGTAACAAATTGTCCTTTTATCAAAAGAACTTTATTTGAATGCACAACACATTGTACACTATTTTGAATAACATTTTGTTTTCTAATTTTGTTTATGTAACCATCGCGAAAAACAAATATCCTTGTAACTATTTCATTTAGTTAAGATATCGGTGACCGTTTCGGTAATCTAGATTTTGAGACCAGTTAAAGGTTTGTGGAATATTTGTGACTTCCTTGGTAAACAAAAGACTATAGGAAAGACGCGTTTGGAACTTCCTACTATATTCAATATTTCCTTTCTTCTGATAGCTAGAGACACAGTCTAATTTGAGCTAGAAACATTTTTGACAACTTTTATTCTGATGGTAGAACTTCCTATTTCTCGAGATTTGCCGGTACCTCACATACAAAATGTACACAACTAAATTCTTATGTCAGATGTTACGAATAAAAATATGTTCTGTTTTCTGATCCAATAATTTGACACCATTTTCATTTTCAGACTATCATAAGAGTAAACACTGATTCGATGTCATTTGAATTATGTATTAATCCCTTTCACCATCTCTTGTATCGGATACTTACTTGAGGTAGATGCATCTGTTGTCGCCACACACAAAATCGTCCGAGCAGCACCAACCGTTGTCACAGCAATGCCATCCGTCGAAACAATAGCCGGGCATTGAGGCGTTATTACAAGGCACGAAACCTGAGGACATAAAAATGTTACTGTAATAATACATTCAATGAACGCGATGAAACTTCTGGTAACTAACTGCGGGTTTTAATTCATTATTTAATTTATTTAATTCTATGTTTCTATTGAAAGTTGCATGTTTGTCATTTTTACAAGCTTTTAAGAAAATTTATGGTATGTGTTTGCATTGATATTGATAATTTTCAGTATATATTTGGATGGATGTCCAGTTTTTGTTTTTAAACGACGTACAATTTATATATACTTGTATGAAGTTTCTCGTCAGGCGCGCATGAAAGAGACATACGAAGACTGATAAGTTGTGAGCCTCATATTTAAGGGTTTGACTTTTGGCGGACATATTGTATCAGTTGTTGCCGTCTTTGGCGGGAGGTAAACCAGGGTGCTTGCTTTTTTTTGACGGTTGTTTGGCCTCTGGGGTGAAATTATGGACACACGTGTCATCCATCGTCACAAGCCTCTGCAGAAAGTTATCAGGATCTTCCTCTGAAAGGTTCAGATTAGCACGATACAAAGTCCACACGGTGTGCTTCTGATCAACTGTCAGAAGTCTTGGTATCTATCGGTCTGAGAGCTTTCTTCTCGCACGATCTTCCGTAAGAATGGAATGTTCCCCTTTCCTTTAAAATCCAGACTTTACTGGCTATACATCTCACTGTATCTCGCCCGACAGCAATAACAACATCATGCACTTTATTGACCATTTCTGGGGTTGCAGTAGTGACAGGCCTTCCAGGACGGGCGTCATCCCCAAGGCTCTGCCTGCTTCGTTTAAATTGCGCCATCCACCTTTTCACTGTAGTATATGAAGGGGCATCACTCGCTAGTGTTGCTGCCATATCAGTGTGGATATCCTTAGGTGCTAGACCTTTCTTATGCAAATATTGAATCACTGTTGTTTCAGCAACTTTGACTATTTTGCAATAGTCATTTGCATTGTTTACTTCAGAGTGCTACCTCTTCGACATAAATTGACTCGACAACACCAGCCTTAACTAGGCAGGGAATGGTAGAGTTGAAAAAGGACGTCCCTGCTTAACTTCTTCAATACAAGGCTCACAAATTATTAATCAGCTCTCGTATCTACACGTTAAAGACAAGACTTCGATTGGTATACCCTAAACAATCAAACTTTAAAATATCATTTTCTGTACAAAAGAATGCGTTGAGATATACATGTGTTTTGTACGTTGACAAGGATGTTCACTCAATAATATGGATAACATTGATTGGCGTACAATCATTTATATTCCTCTTTAGGGTACAATGTATATAATGTATTATCGATTTTTAAAAGTCCAGAAATATTATTTTTGAACATTCCGTTCTCACGAATAAACTTTAAAAAAAATCAATTCCGTCCCATGTAGAATCATTATTGCGAATAGAATGAGAAGAAAGTCATATTATTTTGGAAGACGACAGAATTGTTCATTAGAAGTTTGGTTTCAAGCATTTGAAACCTTTTGTCATCGATAAGGTGTATGTCTTTAAATTTTATTAAAAACAATCGGAACAAATATTTACCAGTGGACAAGGGCCGAGATTAATAACCATATCAATCACGTTCCAGACCATCAACAAATCTTTACTTGTCTGTGGGCTGTGATATTGTGATACAGAAGACAATGTTGTAATATTACACAAAACTGCTTACGTCACTGATATGATTATAAAAAATGTGAAGAAGATACTTACAGAACACGTGCGGAAGACACCAACTTAAACAAATCCATATTGCCCAGGATGACGTCATTGTAGCTTCAACGGAAGTATCAAAAGTCCATTTGGTAAATCTTCGTCATCCTGTTCTAGAAATACACAACACTCCTCAATTAATTTAGGAGTAACGGACTCAATTGTCAGTCTTCATCAAAACGTTAGAAATACACACATTAATTATTAGTACAAAGCACTCATGAATTCCGTAAAAAGCACGTCTTGTTTACTTTAAGCCTTGAGTGAAGCTGCAATACTTTGAAAATAACAGCTTTTCCCGTATTTGGTCAGTGAAAGTGATTTGCTTTTACTATTTGACTTGTGCACATTGTAAAACTGACTTTGGGTAGACATTGAGATTTTCTGTCGTAAAATACAAAATGCAACATTTTTGCAGCAACATGCAGATGTGTGCATATAGTTCTTGTCTCACTCAATTCATTAAAACATGATGAAGATGTTTTTAATTTTCTGAATAAATAAGAAAATCCATAAAAAAAGTACATTATATGCCAGAGTCGATTTATTTTTCTCGTATGCCTATTTTCAAATCTGTCTATGCCTCACCAGTATGAACGGGAGTTGTCGATCTTTACCCCTAGTCTGGCATGATACAAAGTGCATTGCGTGATATCGCGATATTAGTGCCTTCCTATACAAACAACATACATATCTATAATTACACACATATTCCACATTGTACCACTTGAATCTCTATATAAGATATTATATTATGTTATATTCGTGTACATAATCAAAAACGAGATATGGCGATATGTTATTACAATTTCTAAGGAAGCACTTAGAAAAATGCATCTTAAATATTAAAGCCACAATTGTGACGTCATAGATAAAACTCGTGTTGATGTAATATGGAATTAATCGAATTCGTGAAATGATTTCGTAAGTTACCCTCCTAAATAATCGTTAGATATCAAATCACTGAGTTCGTTTAATAAATTCATATTACATCGACTTTTATGCAAGATCCTCAAAGTGTGAGAAAATAACGAAGGATCTCGTAGATTCTTACTTAGTTCTCGAATAACACATTGTAATATAAAGCATCTCGTGTGTATTGAAACATTGGGATGTCTTACACATGTAAGTAGATAGTCATATTGCGATATTGTATATGTGTACACACAGAGGAACAGTGAAATGTCGAATACATTGTTACACATAGTGAGATATTAAGACTCAGTTACTTCATGTTCATGTTTATTTTTGTGTTTACATGCAACTTGAAGCATTAGATATTGTTGTTGATAAACATGCTGAGACAATGATATATAGTTATATCAATGATACACATATATACAAAATAAAAATAAGTGTACGTGAATCTGTGATACACTGACGTACAAATAAATATATCTGTGACATCTATATATATCAAACAACTGTTTATCAAGGACATCTGTATATAACAAACAACTGTCTATAGAGGACATCTATATATAACAAACAACTGTCTATAGAGGACATCTATATATAACAAACAACTGTCTATAGAGGACATCTATATATAACAAACAACTGTCTATAGAGGACATCTATATATAACAAACAACTGTCTATAGAGGACATCTATATATAACAAACAACTGTCTATAGAGGACATCTATATATAAAAAACTGTCTATAAAGGACATCTATATATAACAACTGTCTATAGAGGACATCTATATATAACAAACAACTGTCTATAGAGGACATCTATATATAAAAAATATACATCTATATATAACAACTGTCTATAGAGGACATCTATATATAACAAACAACTGTCTATAGAGGACATCTATATATAACAAACAACTGTCTATAATGGACATCTATATATATAACAAACAACTGTCTATAAACGACATCTATATATAAAAAACTGTCTATAAAGGACATCTATATATAATAAACAACTGTCTATAAAGGACATCTATAGAGAACATATATATATATATAACTAACAACTGTCTATAAAGGGCATCTATGTATATATAACAAACAACTGTCTATAAAAGACATATATATATAACAAACAACTGTCTATAGAGGACATCTGTATATAACAACTGTCTATAGGCAATCTGTCCGTAGAGATCACTTTCTTCTGTTGAGGTATCTTTTAGGAAGTATTGACTGTATCTCTGTGTATAAATTATACATTTACTATGTATGTAGTATTACTTTCTATATGTCTAAAATATTTAATGTTTCTAAATATCAATACTAAACTCACCGCCAAGGACGCCAAGCTCACGGAAGAATATATTAAGTGGTCCTGCATCTCTAACTTTTCATTTTATCTCTAAGGTTACATCAGTTCTGATTAGCGGGATGGTTTCTCTTCCGTATATATGACTTACTTTATATAAATGTGGTCGTTCTTAAGTATTTCCTTGCCGCATGTTTCGTCCGGGTGCAGTACCGGATGTACCTTTTAGTCTCGCCAATGCAAGTGTAACAAAATGGCGGCGCCCTTGTGCGTTTTTGGCGTGTTGTATTTTGAGACGATTGTTAACAGGTCAGTGTCAAGACATGACTTTATTAAGCGTTAGAGTTGTAGAATATGTCTTTAGTGTATTGTTGACCCTATTTCTCGTCGTGGAGATCTGATGTTATACATAAATTCATTAAATGTATCTCGAGGTTGTATCGAGAATCTTCTATCTTTCGGGTTAAACTTTTTTCTACATTGAAATGTTGTGAATTGATATCATATCGGGCACCAGTTGGCCATCGCATGTTTGAATGCTATCATATCCCTGTCGTAACAAGAAAGGATCAACTGATATAGGACATTGCTGCACTGTTTATTGGTTGCGTCAATGTCGATTGTGAAGGTGTCACACATACGGCATGTAAGCTGTCAATACATACGTCGGCAATTAGCCACGTGTCAGCGGATGGTGGGATGATGTGCAGTTGTAAATATTTCACGGAAATATGTCGTTTTACAAAGCAGTATGAAGTCTTACTCATAGTAACAGCTTAATAATTCCGAATCCATGCTTTAATACATATGTGAAAGAACAGGGAAGATATACATTCCTGTCGAGTGCCCGGCCAAGAAACGGAACCCGGGTCTCTGATGTGATAATCGAGAGACAGATACCGTATTTACCACTATATACAAGCCACCCCAACCCGCTCCTACACTCCGTTTTCCCTCAGATTTCGAATTCCTTAATCTCCACCAGAGACTCCACATACCACAAGGCCTTGGATTTCATTGGGTGCCAATTGAAAGAACAAGGAAAAAACATAGTTATGTCGATTGCCCCAATCAGTAATCAAACCCTGGTCTGGCATGATATCCGATCGGCTCTACCAACTGAGCCAAAGAAGCATGCTCTTTCAGCTGAGTGACAAAGACAGTGTTTAACACTATATACAAGCCACTCTATTACACACTTGTAACAGCTAATTCATTATGATCGTTCAGACCTACATACATTCACGACCAATGAATAGTTCAGATCTCTGCTCAATAGTGAAATTTGTAGAAAAAGCTTTTAGTACCATTAAAAATGAATCAGTTGCAGTTTCATGTTTAACTTAACTAAATTTATATTTACACACACTTCATGTGATTCAATCCAATTCTTGTGATGTGACTTCCAGTCTTTGACATTTTTAGTTTTAAACAGAAACTTTCTTTTTTCTGAAATATTAATGTTAGAAAGAAACTACTGAGGACCCTAGGATTAAAATTTTGATTTTAGATTTTGATAGGAATGAAAATGGTTAACAAGTTTGGGGTTTATTTCCTGTGGTTTGTTGTGTCTATTTTAACAAGATATCACCGAGATTCAATGTAAATACTGATTTATTCTGAAATATATATCTACAATTCTGTCCTTTTATTAAATATAATGATCTTGTAATTCAAATCTAACTGTGGAGCAAGAACAAAAATTTACTTGAATGAGCATTTAAAGGTTTTAAAGGCGGGTGGGGATGGGGGAACCAACATTCAACAGGATTGTGGTTTAAAAATACATCAGAATCCATGAAGTATACCAAAATTATTGCTTCCAAAATTGTCATTTTGCTGTCTAAATAGAATTAATTTGCATTTACACTTGACAATGTATTGAATACAACATATTGAGGCTAATACACAGGTAAAATCATACAGGAATAAACCTCAAAACTGGTATTTGTATTGTTTTATGGTAAATGGGCAAATGATGCCAGTTCTGTACATTTACTTTTTTTATTATGTAAATATCATTATGAATGAACAGGAAAACATATTCCTGCAGAAGACTTCAGACAGGATTCAAAGCCTAGCCACTTCTTCTGACCCTCTATCAACATGCACTTCCTTACTGAGACAGCAATGCAAATTTATGGATGATTGAGAATTATTGACACAATTGTAATGTAAAAGCCAACAGTGCAGCTCCTTCAACTGTTATTTTCTTGAGATCTTTCTCCATACAACACCCAACACCTAAACCAATAGATTTCATGGGTTACCAATCAGATAAAGCCTGAAAGATAGATTTCTACAGAGAACCAGTGAACCCTGGTACATTGTAGCTTTGTACTATTGCAGAAAAATATTTCTATTCAATTTCTTGTTTTTCATATGAACATTCCTCCAATGATTTTACAGGCAGAACAGAATTTCACAAATATTTCCAAGATAACATTCATAATTATGGATAATACGTATATCGTTTGCTACTTACCAATAATAGACGTTTACATAACAACATAATTTGTCATCTATGGTCGACAACAAGGAAGAGAGAACTCAATATTTTGTAGACAGCCGAGAGCACATTCTCCTGTCGATTATAGTCGACAACGGCACGGAAGGGATTAATACACTACAAATGTCATTAAATTTAAGTAAAACCGGATATACCATAACTGCTAGTTCATCGTCATCATAACAACGATGACTCATATGACTTTTAGTAAACTTTCTCCAGTTTACAGATGTGTCAATTTTTAATGTATAATTTGTATATATTCGTTACTGTATGTGTGTGCAGTTACCCGTAACGTGAGCGAGGCTTGTGCATGTTTTGTGCTCCCTTTTCATTGTAATTTGACTGCCGTTTCATTTAAACCTAATACCAACAAAGCCTGGTTTACAAAAGATTGTCATTTAAAGAGAAAAGAATTCCATACAGCAAAGCGCATATATGATAATTGTATAAAAAAAACTTGGGTAGTGACATAGGTATATATATTAGATTGTTTCTTATTTTGTACGCAGATGACACTGTTATAATATCTGAATCAGCAGATGGATTACAATCTGCACTTAACACGTTTCAAAATTATTGTAATGATTGGAAACTCACTGTCAACACTCACAAAACTAAAATTGTTAGATTCTCTAAAAGAAAATATAATACACGAGGTCACTTTTTACTCTGTAATGAAGAACTTGAAATCTTGGAATCTTTCTCATATTTAGGTGTTTTATTTAACTATAATGGCTGTTTTGTCAAAGAAAAGGATAAACTTGCACAACAAGCGAAAAAAACCTTTATTTGCCGTGTATAGAAAGATTAGAAACATTTCTTTACCAGTTGATCTACAATTGAAGATTTTTGATTCCCTTGTACAACCTATACTCCTATATTCAGTAGAAATATGGGGATTTGTAAATACAAATATTATTGATAAAATTCACTTGCAATTTTGTAAACGTATTTTGAATTTGAGATGCTGTACAGCGAATTATATGGTTTACGGTGAATTAGGTCGATACCCATTAAGTATCGGAATTAAATGTAGAATGGTTATGTTTTGGTATAGTTTGATATCTAGTAATAAGTTATCTAGTAACATTTATAAATTATTGTATTATCTACATGAAAATGGAAACAAGAGTTTCAAATGGATTACTTACGTGAAAAATATATTTTCCAACACCGGTTTAAACTTTGTATGGAATCTACAGGAAATGTGCACAATAAGTAAAGCTACTTTAAAATCTATATTAAAACAACGACTAAGGGACCAGTTTATTCAGAAATGGTTTAACGATATAGATGTGTCATCTAGAGGACAGATATACTCAATTTTTAAGTCTAAGTTTCAAATAGAAGATTATCTGATGAAATTAAATGAAAGAGACAGGAAGTATATTTCAACATCAAATTTGCATTTACCCATAGAAACAGGGCGATGGAACGGTACACCTCGTCAGGATAGAATATGTAATTTGTGCTCTACAGATATTGGCGATGAGTATCGTTATTTATTTATTTGTGAACATGAATTGGTATGTCAAATCCGACATTTATATATTCCAAAATATTACTGTATATATCCTAGTCGTACAAAAATGGAAGGTCTTTTTTCTCTGTGTAACGTTCGTTTGCTAATTCATATTATTAGATTTCTAGAAAAACTTGAAAAACTTCTGAATATATGAAAACTCAACGTATATATGTATACATGTATCAAAACTGTTATTATTGTGTTCCGCCATGTCTAATATTTGTTGTTTATATGTGACCTCTTGTAACACACTCTGTGTCTGAGCGTACAATAATATCTGTGAAATCTGTGAAAATGTACACCGCACCCAACTTTCCGAGACCAGCTCGATTTCAGAGTAGCTTGTCGTGTGCTGGGCGCGGAGGTGAAAGGGGGCGTTGCGTACGACGCGCGGGATACGCCAGCGGTAAGTGCGGCGGTCCCGCTGACTTCGAGGGAGCACGCTGTTTTACACCGATCGCACCCCAGAATAACAAGCCACTCCATATTAATGAACATCTAATGTTATTTTACATGTCCATTGTTTGTCTCCCATAAATAAAACCTATTATTCAGTACTGCACTCCAGTTGTTTGTCGAACGGAAACGCTACAAATTTGGTGGCAGCAGTGACTTTACCAGTATACACTGTCAATGGCCTATGAATTGTACATGACAATTGATAAATTGCAGTCAAAGATAGCAGCGTTAGAGCATAAATTCTGGTTATTTGGCGTCAAATCACCGGCAAAAATAACTACTTCGATGGTCCCTAACCAAAGGCAACTCCGCCACGCTAGGCGTTTTTAACCAGTGTGTCGTTGAGTGCCGATCATCTGTCGCAAGAGCCGTCATTTCTGGTGTATGGTGTATATGGTGGTGCACGTCCGAAACGGGAGAACAACAATACACCTCGTAATAGGTTATCTAACCAACCGGTAACATCTACAGGTACCAACACCGCGAAGGCAACTTCGTGGTTCGATGACTAGGGAAACATATGAAGACACAAAGTCTAAGAGACAACACGGGAGTAAGGCGCCTACGGTGGGTGGCGATGTCCCTTTAAGTGAATTTGCTAGGCCGCATAGCGACTTAAGTGAAAGTAGATAGATGAATGAACGCTACTCCGTAGTTTCAAGCCTGTTAAAGAAAAACGTAAAACCAGACACATTTAATTGGCCAACGTCCTGGTCTTACTTTGGTATATACCTTGCAGTCTATTTGAGGGGTTTGGCATAAGGATTCCTTGGTAGCCTTCCTGAGAGAGATAAATCAGATGATGGGAAATTAACTTTAGCTCTCCGGCAAAGATTTTCACCAGTTAATCAACTGAAAATGTACTGATCTCAACTAAAAAGTCGGTATCTCCAACCTGGCGAAAGCTTACCCCAGTTAGTCAAGGTTACTTAAGACTTACGGTGTGTCCTAGCGCAGCGCCAGAGTTGTGGGAGGTGTTAGCAGAGATGCATTTATTGATGCTTTGACAAGTTCAGAAATCCGATAGCATGTACAACAAAGCCAACCGACAAATCTTAATGATGCTATATGTACAACAGTAGAATTGGAGGCTTTCAAAAAAGCCGAGCGTTGCTGTCAGGACTACTAAGGACATGTCAGAACTGCCGAGGAAAACGATATATCAATTGTGTCTAAGGAATCGGAATATTTAGCCACTCTTCAAGCGATGATTGCCAAACCTCAAGTTGATATCGAGGCACTGAAAGAATCTCGGAAATCCGCCTATCGAAAGAGGGAATCGAATGACACAA